TCCATTATTTCATTTTCGAATTCACCGCCTCGATCAGAAAGGAGCATTTCGGGCCATCTACCGGCACCACAAACCCAATTACTGAAAATGGCTTATGCAACGGTTTCCGCCTTTTTATCTGCAACAACATATGCACCAAGGTATTTGGGAAAGTGATCGATCACTGTAACCATATACCGGTTCCCTTGCGTTGTCAGACCCATTTCGAGTAAATCTACACCGACAAACTGCAACGGTCTCGCAACTGCTAAGGGTCGTGAATGTGGTGCATTTCCTGCCCTACCGTTGGTCAAAAAGCATTTTTGGCAACCGCGGCACCAGCTCACTAGATCTTGAAACATTCCCGGCCAGAAAAGAGACTTTTTCATCTGTATGAACATCTTTTTCGCGTTGAAGTGGCCACCCAGAGTGCCAGAATGAGCTTCCTCAAATACACTGGTGTGCAAAACTTAGGGACGAGATGGATAATGTAATATAAAACATTGAGGACTGAGTGGAAATAAATGAAAGTGTGGAATTATATTGGCAGAACTATGACGGTTATGCACGGGATGTTGGACGTCCCTTCGTGGAGGAATAGCCGAAATAAAGCGAGAAATATGGCTACCCGCACAAATCAAGGCAGCTGATAGGTACGAGAAAAATTTTTTCGTCAATCAGCGAGTAGCTACCAAGTACTGTGGTGTCATCCTTCTATCCATCATATCCCGCAGACATCATCCGGATGACCTAGCACGAGGAAGGATCATGGAGATGCTCGAAAAAGGTCGAACCATGACGAGTGCAGCTCAGGAACCTGGTATCGCTCACAGCGTTGTTACACGTGCACGGAGAGCATACCGAACTTCTGATACTGCTGCACGAAGGAGAGCAGGTTGTCAACCAAGGACAACTACATTAAGGCATGACCGCTACATTGTGCAACAGGCAAGAAGAGATCCACGACAGTCTGCTTATTTGATTGCAATGTCATTTAACAGAATTTCAAAGCAAGCAATCCCACGCACTTCAGTGGCACGACGACTACACGGTTGCGGTCTCCTCGCCCGACGACCACTACGTGGTGTTCCTTTGTCCCTCGCGAATTGGCGAGACCGTTTAGGGTGGTGCAAGGAGCATAGCGAACGGATCGTTGAGGCATGGGGCCGTTTGCTTTTTTTTGTATGGGAGCTGATTCAGTCCGAGTAATGATTTTAAACGCACCCTCATATCCAGAGGTGGGGACACGCACGTCTCTCAGGAACGCTGTGGAACTTGATCGTTCTGGTGGTCGAGGTGTTATGGTATGGGGAGGCAACATGCTTCGTAACCGTTCTGACCTCCAGATTTCAAAGCGTTTGACCCTTAACAATCGGCGTTACTGTGAAAAGAAACCCCTATCTAATGTGTCTCATTTCAAGGCTGCAGTGAGCCCTAAATTCGTTTTTATGGATAACAATGCGCGACCGCATCGAACAACATAGGTGGAAAAGCTCTTGACACAAGGGGTTATCCAGCGAATGCAGTGGCCTGCCCGTTCCTCCGACCTGGATCCCGTCGAGCACGTGTAGGATGCACTTGGTAGAGGCATTGCAGCACGTCCAAATGCACCACTGACCGTCCAGCAGTTGTCAATTGCGCTGATAGAGGAGTGGAACGCCCTACCACAATAACTCATTTCCAACCTCGTGGAAATTATGAGATCGTGTTGCAGAGCATTTGCTGCTGTCCGTGGCGATCACACACCTTGCTAGGAACCACGTCGCTCTTTTTGAAGTACTGGGATAAGTTGTGAGGAACTATGTGTAATCGGTACCTTCAATAAAAATGTCTTATTGCTCGTCCTATTTCGTTTTTCTGCCATCTGCTTCCTGTGCAATACCGTAGTGATCCTCTATTGGTACGGTATAAATTTCATCGAGCCCTGTCGTCTGGAAGAGGTACAGAAATCGAAAGTTGCTTTCGTCCCTAAGTTTTGCACACCAGTGTATATTCCGTCTTTGTGAGCGCGGTACTACGGCAGCCAAGGAACCATTCTCGTTAATAAGACTCAAACTTCCGTTCTGCAAGGCAAAATCGGCAGTGCTGAGGACCTTGTTATGCCTAGAGAGTTTCCCGTCTTCCATCACTCTACTTTCCATAGACGTAATTAATGTCGCAAAGTCGGGGTCTTCGCGAAGCTCGAGAAGCCAGTCATGTGCCTGAACTGAACAGACTACCTTTTCGTCCTCCGCATAGCCGGGAGTCGATATCGAAGAGTGAGGTAGGCCACGAGATAGCGCATCCGCTACTGCGTTTGCTGTTCCTTTTACATACTCAATGGTAAGATCGTAACGCTGCACTTCTAGTGCCCAACGTAAAACTCGTGGAGAAACATTAGTACGTTTGAACAGTGAGGTGAGCGCTGAGTGGTCAGTTCTGACAATACTCGGGACGCCATATATGAAGTAGTGAAACTTTTTCAGGCTAAAAATTAGCGCAAGCGCTTCCTGATCTGTGACGTGATAATTTCTTTCGGCGCCAGATAAATGCTTCGAAGCAAAGAATACGGGATGTAGCAGCGAGTCATCTCCCTCTTGTGCTAAAACAGCCCCAATCCCTATTCTGCTAGCATCAGTATAAATAATGAAAGGTCGCGATCCATCCCTCGCTTTCTCTATATTTGGTTGCGCCAGAACAGGCGCTTCCATAAGGGTTTTCTTCAATGCTACAAAAGCTTCCTCATGTTCATGTGACCACACGAATTTCCTTTTGAGACTGGTGAGATCAAAAAGTGGTTTTGAAATCTGAGAAAATCTCAAAACAAACTTCCTGTAATATCCAGCCATACCTAAGAAGGTTCTTAATTGAGCAACATTCTGAGGGCGAGCATATCTTTTATACGAGCAACCTTCTCCGGATCTGCCCTTACTCCGTCCGCATCCACTACATGCCCAAGAAACTCAAGACTGGGTTCCATTATACGGCACTTTTGTGGTTTTACCTTCAGTTGCGCTTTCCGGAACGCTAGTAGTACCTTACGGAGGATATCCGCATGTCTAGGTATTGAGTCTGTTGCGATCAGTATATCGTCTATATATACTGATACTTCTGGCCCTATTAAGTCGCCTAACACCTTGTCCATTAACCTTTGGAACTTAGCTGGTGCGGTGGTCAGTCCAAACGGTAAGACTCGAAACTGGAGTTGTCCAGAGGTCGTAGTGAACACACTTATTTCCTTCGCTCGTTCACTTGGAGGGACTTGCCAGTATCCACTAGCTAAATCCAAGGCAGTGAACTATCGCGTGCCCAGCAGATTCTGCAGAGTGATATCTATAGGGGGTAAAGGATAGTTATCCTTCTTAGTAACCTTATTGACTTCCCTATAATCCACACAAGCCTTGTGGTACCATCCTTCTTGGCCACCAAGACTATGAGAGACGCTCATAGTGATTGACTGTCCTCAATCACGTTTCTTTATTTAAGGCCCCGTAGCGTTGTATCTACCTCAGCACGAATACCGTATGGGACGGGTCTGGTTTTCTGTCGGATTGGGGGATACCCACCCACATCAAGTCATGGGTCACCAGATTCGTTTGCGTTAGTTCTTTGTCCGAGACAGCGAATACATCGCTGTACTCTTCGATCACTCTACGCAGTTCCTCAGGTATAACCCCGGCCTTTCGATTCTTATTTGGTATGTCTTCTAGAACATGGGTCCTTTCAGCATCTTGTAACAACCATCATGTCACTTGGGACGTCCACTATCCTCGGATCAATCCAAGTTTCTGCTGACCATGAATTTTCGAGGTTCTTTATCAATTTGTTTTGCTCATTTTTCTCTTTTTGCAATTCCGCAATTTTTGCGCATTTCCTATCTACGATTTCTGCGACTTGGTCTAGTTCACATTCTAGGTTCTCTGCTGTTCTGCAAAGCATGCGGCTGTGAGCAGTTACGCCGGGTAAAAAGTCGCGCAGCTCTGCTTGCGACATCTGAATTTCCTCAAAAAATGTCACATCAGCAGCAGGCCTACTTTTTTCTAGACTTTCTTTCACCTTAATGACCACGCACTGCACCGATCCGCGTACTGCATCTAATATAGCTCTCCGCTTTATGCTAGTCAAATGTCTAATTTGGTCTTTGAGGGCTTCATCTAGTTGCAGGAGAATGTTTTGAAAACTTTCGTTTATATCCTCTAACTGACAACTCACCCCCTACATTATCCCAATCGTTCAGAGGTGTGGGACCGGATTCGCTATGTTCCATAGTGGTGTCGATTCCGACACTTTCTTCCGCGTTAATCATTTCAGAGTTCATCTAGAAATGCGACTATTAACCGAGTCACCGGCTTGGCCCCCAAGTCGGACTTTTATAACGATTTATTCGTTATAATATAAGAGAAACTACAAGAGCAACAAATGAAATTACAAAAAACAAGTAGAGGTAAGTAAGAAGTACAAATAAAAAGGAAGTTACAAAAGAATATGACAGCTATATTTATAGCTGTCCTCATGGGCGTGCTCTATCCCCCAGCTATCCTCGCCACGGCCTCGCATCTCCCGTGGATAGAACGCATCTCCAGGTTATCACGCGCTAGGTTACACGTGCCGGACCGGCTACCCTACAGTCTATCAGCTGGATGGGCAGTGGGTAGGCTGACTAGCATTGTCAGGAGGTTGAATCAGCTGGACGAGTTGCCCAGCTCACAAACCGAGTCGAATGAGCGGCGCCAAGGAGGCAGTTACGAGCCTATGCGCCCCAATGGCAAAGTAGGTGCGAAGGGCCGCGCCAAACGACATACACCCCTTCCAGTTGAAGGAGAATATACCACCCTTGGCAATGGGCCAAGCGGTGCGCGCGCGACACGCGCCGGAGAGCCCCCTATGGGTGTATGTCGTTTGGCGCGATGGGCGGGGTCGCGCCGCCTATTTGAGGCGGCGCGACTCCGCCCATCGTACCGTTCAACTCGTTCAGATCGCGTAATCTTCCGCTTTCCTCTCCTCTATAGATGATAGAAGCCCAATCCATCATCTATAGAGGAGAGGAGAGAAGAAGATTACGTGATCTGAACGAGTTGAACGGCGTGATGGGCGGAGTCGCGCCGCCTCAAATGGGCGGGGCGACCCCGCCCATCGCGCCAAACGACCGGCTCCCGCCCCCTATATTTTTAGATGCGATCACTGAAGCGCGCATTTTGGAGGTAGCGAGTCCTTTAATTATTTGAATTGGCTGGCCGCTCCCTTCAATTCCAGTGCGGTCTTGACAGTCGCTAATATAGGGGAAGCCACTCTGATTTATCAGGTCTATTATACATGAAAATGAAAAAGAAACAGAAAAAACGGTCAAAACTGATAAAGAAGAAGGGCAATCAACGAAAGATATTGCGTCCTATCGATTGGCGGGGAGGCGGAATGAGTACGGTAATTGCAGTAAGATTTGCCGCATGCCGCAAGGAGAACGTCCGCAACCAGGGAAAAGTTCCGTTACCCCAGCTACTGCTTTGTTCGGCACCGTGATCCGTTCGGTAGAGTGGTGTAACGCAGGAGAGGCATCGGTCCCGTAACTTTGTTCCCAGATTAGCAGATTTGGAACACAGATTTGAAATCAGCGTCCGAAACCACCTACAGGGGGATACATCTCATCTTGAATGGCTACTGCGACCAAGTATCCTTCGTTTTTTTGATGCTCTGGTCTGACGTACGTTGATATCCCTTACGGCTCAAGTAGAAACATAAAATACGCATTAAAATCTCTGGAATGGAGGAGCAGAGGATATAACTTATTTGTGTTTTTCAAAATATCAAGAAGCTTACAATTAGTGAAGGTTGAAGCGCCCGATTTCTTCAACGTATTGCTTTCAAACACGAAGGGACTAGTGCTAAACTCGCCTTCAACTGTTAAAACTGAATGCAGGTCAAAGTTTTCCAGTCAGAGAGTTCGTACGTGTTCCATTTCTATTCTGCGCTCAAATCTGTATTCGTCGAAGTATGTTACTTCCACTAAAACATGTTAATGGTTTTATTTGATTTCCATTCATGTCAGTAATGCATGCACTGGGAGTCGTTCTCGAGTTTTGGTTAACAATCTTTTTGGTTTCGAACATGTCCAAAAAAAATGAAGTAGTCGGAAGTAGCTCTTGCAATTAACGTATTTGATGAAGGATGGCTGTATGCAAACTAGATTGTCAATTTATGTCAGTTTGATGCTTGGCAACGCCCGTACAACGATTCCTTAATCAGAATTCACATTTATCTTCAATAAACATTACGAAGCGGAATTCTGTCTACTTATGCTGAATTTTCTATCTTAGCTTCTTTATGGTAAAACTACTGAACTTGAGCTCAAAACTGGAGCTGCGTGTGCTACTGACTTACCTGCAGCCAAATACATATGTAATCGAGTGATTCACAGAACGTTCGATAGCTTTTTGACGTCGATATTTGCATTACTGCAGGTGTATCATTCATTTTGAATTGATAGCTCGTCGAACCATTGTCGGAGCTGTGGTAGGAGCTTGACTGGGGCCCTTGTCATTCCGCTTGATTGGGATAGGTGGTGGCAGGTACAGTCTTATTCATTTAACTATCACGTTTGAATTTCGTTTATGTTTCTAACTGTATTAATGGTATTCGAATTTTTCTGCTGATGTTTCTGCTCTTGTTTTTCGTTACTAGTGTGAATGCACTGGTTGAACATCAAACGATTGTATCATGACTTAGCGACGCGCCTCTGCTTACTTCCTGCTTGTTAGTCATTTATGCTTTTATTAACTTCTTCTGTAGTAACGCTGACAGCTTTTCAGTCTGTACCGCCTATTATCATGGAAAACTGTCTGACTGACTTTGTTAAGACTTTATACGGCTATATGCGCCTTACAATCTGCTTCAAAATTACATCCGTCCAGTAGCCCTTGTGTCAATTAGCATCGCATAAGATACCGGTGCTTGCACCTGACACGTCTTCACTCTTGGTGTGATTTCTGTTGAATTACAGTTCCCTTCGTTATTTTCAGAAATACCCGTCCTGACATGCGTCACCACAGATACGATTCAATTCATTTAATTGGGGCTTACCGAAAATTCTGCGGGTTATTCAGTGGTTAAAATGACTTTGGTGATAGCGGAGTAAGGAGTGAACGAGTAAATAGCAAATGTGGATATTACCGCAATGAAAACACAGAATAATGATAGATGAGCCATTATCAAAATACAGAAACTACGTCTTGCCCTTGACGTTGTTTACGGTGGAAAAATCGTGTTTCATACTGGTTGCTTTCAGCGTTATCCACTTCCAAATTTTGTGGGATCTGTGTGTGGTTGGGTTCTTGGAGCGATCTCTGCCGAATTCCACTGGAGTCTACGACGTTTAAAAATAGGAAAATTGCCGTAGTACGGTATTCCTCTACTGCGATTTACAAGAATTACATTGTACTCGCCTTGGGTCAGTAGTGTTAATGCCTTCCAATAATGGCTCAATGTCGTTGGAGGGACTATTTGGTCAATATCGCTTTGCCGACGTTCCAAAACTCAAAGCAATATTTTATGCAGAGTTTAACATTGACATTGGACCTGTGATTCGTTATCAGGTGAAAGTCTTTCTGATCTTCTCGTCATAATCGAGATGAGGCATGATAATTCGCTTTGAGTTTGTCATTCAGATTTCTGACGACCAAAATGTGGTATCTCCAGAACGTTTTTCTGCATTTTCGGCTGCTATCATTTCCAAAGACGAAATGTTGAATCGTCTCGTCAAGCTGAATTTGCTAGATTTCAAGGTTATGGGGCATCCTATAGGATTGAGTGAGTGATCTTTGTGTTTGCTGTTTCCTTTTACGTATGTGGGCTCCATTTCTGATCAAGAGCGAGTGCACAGGCGCTCATCGAAGTTCACAAATACTAGTCCAATACCGCATAATATCCATTAAGAGGCGGCTGAGACGGAGCCATTCTACTTTGTACAAGCATTTGGTGGTAGCCGGAGTTTCATTTTGGGATAATCGTGGTTTCAACCCCAACCCTTCGCACGCATCTGAAACGAGAATTTCTTTGCAACCACTTCTTTTATTCTTTCACTATATGTCTGCTCTCTTTTCTTTTTTTTT